CGGCCGCGCTCACCTGCTCGTCGGGGCCGATGAGGGCGTGTGTGGACTCTTCCCCCAGCGAGGGGTGGCGGGCAGCCGCGAACCGCGGGCCGTCGCCGGCGCAGCCCGGGAAGCCATTGGAGAAGCTGGAGACCGAGTAGCCTAGAGCTGGGCGCGGGGGAAGACGGGCCGTGAGGAGCCCTCGCCCACGGCTCGCGTCCTCCATCACGGCCTTACCTGTGCGCCCCAGGCAGGCGCCCCGCGCACCCCGACCCCAGCCCGGCTGCGCCAGTGAGCGCCCCGAACTTACACGACCATGTTTTCTTCCTTCTGCCCGTCCCCGGCCAACCAGCAGGGTTTGGTCTCAGTGAATGAATGAACGAGGCAGAAAGCTGGGGACCCCTGCAGAAGGCATGGCACCCCTGCCGAGATGCTGGCACCAGCAGCCAGGAGAGGCAGAGAGCGCCATGGAAACCCACCGTCTTCCTGTCTGCTCCCAACCATTCGTCCACGCTAGGCCTCGGGCTCCGCTGATGGCCTGGCCCAGGCCTCCTCCACCCGCTGCTCTCCAGGTTAGCACCTGTCCCGAAGGCTGGCCTCCACCTGCCAGCCTCCACCGGCCAGCCCGGTTCCTGAACCCAAACCGAGGGGGACACGGGGGGGGGTCTCCTCACCAGTGGGCTGCTGGGGGGTGCGCGGGAAGTCAAAGGCCGCCGGGTGGCTGTTGCGCGTGATGATGACAGGCTCCTCCATGACGTTGATGCTGTTGCACTGCATCAGGTCCTGCAGCAGGTTGAAGATCTCCTCCGCCCGGGAGCACTTGAACGCGAAGATCCCTGGAGGAAGGCACACAGGGGAGCTGCAGGGAGGACCGCGGCGCCAGGCTGCAGCGGACGGGGGCGCTGCTCTGCATTCTGGGCATTCTTGGTTTTGTGTTTGTTTGTCTGTTTTTGTCGGTTGTGGGGCTTGAACTCTGGACCTGGGCGCTCAGCTCTTCAGCTCAAGTCTAGTGTTCTACCACAATGCGACTTCCAGTTTTCTGAGTGGCTTATTGGAGATAAAAGTCTCACGGATTTTCCTGCTTGGACTGGCTTTGAACCATGATCCTCACATCTTAGCCTCCTGAGTAGCTAGGATTACAGGCGTGAGCCACCAGGGCCTGGCCTATCCTGGGCATTCTTGCCATACATTCCTGTAGCCCAGAGTCCAGGGACCCGGCCCAGGGCCTCCTGCTCCAGCCATGCCACACTCCCATCATCGCAAGACCTGTAGTGCAGCCCCACTCCTCCAAGAAGCTGCCAGCTCCCTAAGCACATGAGTTTAGTGGTGAGTGGAGGAAAAACGCTCTCATCAAATTAAATACCTCCAGCCGGAGCCAGTGGCTCACGCCTGTAATCCTAGCTACTCAGGAGGTTGAAATCTGAAGGTCATGGTTCAATGCCAGCCCAGGCAGGAAAGTCTGTGAGGCTCTTATCTCCAATTAACCACCAGAAAACCAGAAATAGCGCTGTGGCTCAAATAGTAGAGCACCCATGTTGGGCTGAGAAGCTCAGGGACAGCGCCCAGGCCCAGAGTTCAAACCCCACGACCAACAAAAAAAAAAAAAGCCCCCATCATCCTCTTCCTACTACCCTCTGCTCCCCCAGGAAACAAAGTCAAGTCAGGCCAAGCCCTGAACTCAGGGCTCTCTGCTCAGCAACAACCCAGGGTGGGTGGGTTTGTCCTGCCCATGGCTCCTTCAGCCCAGTGCCCGGCCACGGCGGGTCACCCGCTTCCCACAGCTTCATCGCCATGCAGGCAGAGCTAAAGGTGGGTGTGGCAAAGCAGTCAGGGGTTCATGGGCACAGCTGGCCTCACAGCTGTTCCAAGCCCAGTGCCACAACTCAGTGTCCTGGGAATTGCAGGACTTGGGCTGAACACAAAGATGCTGGGGACTGGGGCGGCCGGGGTGTGCAGCAGTGGGACCCAGGGCTTGGGGAAGCTCCTAGAAGGTTTGTGTGCATATATCTACAGTGCAGATAAATACGGCTAGGTCCATAACATTATATTATTAGATTACAATTAATAGGGCACACTGCAGGCCAATGGAGAGGGCTGGGAAGAGAAGGGAAGTAAGGGGCCTGTGCAGGCAAGATATGTCAAGAGTTAGGAAAAAGATTACTAGGGTCTAGAGTTCAGGAAGAGCCGTCTTCCTCCCGCCGTCTGCTCAGTCAGCACTGTGGGCCTCTGCTGAGCTCCAGGGCCCAGGTGGTGGAGGGGAAAACACCCTGGGAGACGCCTGGCTGTGCTACTGTTTCAGATGCGGAGTGCCCTCTGCAGTCCCAACCCGCGCAGCACCCTTCTGCAGCGCTTGTCTGGACCCTAATAGTCAGGCACACCATGCAGTGCTGGGACTCAGAAACCACCTCCCAGCCTCTGACCTCGCGGTACAGCCACTCTGCTGCCCCCAGGTAATGGAGATCAAGCGTCCTGGCTCCCCAATTTTCATTCCCAAGCCAGAGCCTCCTACGGGACCTTTCCTCCATTATGCACAGGAGCCAGAGAATAAGACCTGGAGGCTCGGGGAAGAAAGCTTTGTTCCTACTGGGGGCAAGCGGGTCCCTGAAGCCATAACAACAGAGGGAAGAGTCATTTCCTTCTGCCAGGCACGCTCTGGCCTGGAAGCATTGCCTCTTTCCCACGGGCTAAACAACAAATGTCCCCACAAAGGGACCCAGGCTGGAGCAACAATCACTTAAGAAAGAGCACTGGAGCCATGTGCTGGTGGCTTATGCCTCTAATTATAGCTACTTAAGAGGTTGAGATCTGAGGATCATGGTTCCGAAGCCAGCTCCAGTAGCCAAATCTTATTTTCAATTAACCAGCAAAAAAAAAAAAAAACCTTGGAAGTATAGGTCTGGCTTAAGTGGGAGAGCCCCAACCTTGAGTGAAAAAGCTAAGCAAGAACACAAGATTGTGAGTTCAAGTCCCAGTATTGGCTCAATTATCCTCCCTGGGCTTGCAGGCCATACAATTTGGTTTTGGTTTTTGTCAGTATGGGTCTTGAACTCCGGGCCTGGGTGCTGTCCCTGAGCTCTTCAGCTCAAGGTGAGCGCTCTACCACTTGAGCCACAGTGCCACTTCTGGTCTTCAGGTGGTTCTGTGGAGATAAGAGTCTCATGGACTTTCCTGCCTGGGCTGGCTTTGAACCATGATCCTCACATCTCAGCCTCCTTAGTAGCTAGGATTATAGGCATGGGCCACCAGCACCCAGCTGACCATACAGTTTTGTAATACCATGCTTTGTGCCCTTGCCCAGGGCCCGTTCCCTCTCTGGGTAATGTCTGCTAAGTGTGAGGGCCAGATTTGATGTTAAAGCTCATTCTCATAATTTCCCAACAAGCTCTCCAGACCCCCTGGACTGTACCTTCCAGCCCAGAGATGGCTGGGCACACAGCCCCCACCTTGGCAGGGCAGTCCAGTCCTCACCTTGGCCTGTCTGACAGCGGCGGCCACTCTCAAAGGAGAAGAGGTTGGAGTCGTAGCCATAGCGCCTCAGGCAGAGGTAGGGCCAGTGGATGTCATCCCGCTGAAGCAGGTGCAACACCAGCTCGCTCTGTGTCAGCTCCATCACGCCTGAGCCCAGCTCCATGCCCTCATCATCCACATTTGTCACCTGGAGGGGGCAGCAGAGGGTCAGGGAGACTGCAAGCGGGAGGCAGCTCCCTCTGGGTTAGCAGGGAGGCTGAGAGGTCATCCCATGCACATGCGCTACAGAACACCATGGATCAAGGGGGTCCCACAAAGCAGTACCATGGACCATGGCAGTCCTCTAGGCAAATCCCTCCCTTACGGGCCTCAGTTGACCTCCTAGGGCAGGTGGTCCAGTGACCTTGCAGGGCTCATGGCTTAACAGTTAAGGGTCAGATGTCAATGAGGAAGGGGTTCAACTGTAAATTCAAATTCTGCAGCTCCTAAGAAAGTCAGCCCAAGGCAGAACAAAAACATACTGCCATTCTCTCCGTAACCTTAAGGCCTTGCTGTGGGCTCCCTCTGCTGGAAGGAGGGAGGAAGTCCATTGCCAAGATAAGGCACCCCCTACAGGTACAGAGGTGTTCAGGGAGCACACAGGCCCATGGGGCCTGGCCAGGACTTCAAGGCAGCAGGGACACTTCATAAAGTGCTTGCCATGTGCCAAGCACCGTTTAAAATACTCTATGTTGGGCACCAGTGGCTCATGCTCATATTTCTAGCTACTCAGATGGCTGAAATCTGAGAATCAGTTTGGAGTAAGTCTGGGCAGACAAATCTTTGAGACTCTATCTCCAGTTAACCATCAAGAAGCCAGAAATAGAGGCACAGTTTAATGGCAGTGAGCAAAAAAAGCTACTCCTGAGTTTAAGCCCCCAATACTGGCACAAGAAAAAAACACTTTATTATATTAATTCATAAATATAGACTTGTTATCTCCAAAACAAAGGTGTATATGCCAGGTGCTGGTGGCTCATACCTGTAATCCTAGCTACTCAGGAGACTGAGATCTGAGGATCGCAGTTCAAAGCCAGCCCAGGCAGGAAAGTCCATGAGACTCTTATCTCTAATTACCAACCGGAAAACCGGAAGGGGAGTTGTGGCTCAAAGTGGCAGAGCACTAGCTTTGAGCTGAAAAGTTCAGGGACAGCTCCCAGGCCCCAAGACCAACCCCCAAAAAAGGTGTATGAAGTTATAAATATATACTTTCAGGACTGAACACTCCTGCTATGGTATTGTAGCGTTTATGTATATATATATATTTTTTTTTTAATTTATTGTTTTGTCAGTCGTGGGGCTTGAACTCGTTTCACTATTCTTGATTGTATCAAAACAAAAAGAAACACTGGATCCTCGTGGCTCACACCTGTAATCCTTACTCAGGAGATCTGAGGATAGAGTTCAAAGGCAGCCCAGGCAGGAAAGTCCAGGAGACTCTTATCTCCAATTAACCAGCAAAAAGGCAGAAATAAAGCTATGGCCCAAGCAATAAAGTAGCATCCTAGAGTGAAAAGGCTAAGGGATGGCATCCAGGCCCTGAGTTCAAGCCCAGTACCAATCAATTGATCACTGAACTGACAGACAGATGGACAGATAGAGACAGATACGACAGTGGCCTAAGCCTTTCTCCTTGGCCCCTTAGAGGCTACGCACACAGGGAGCCCAGCCCGCTGCCGGGGCAGGATTTCTCTTCCCACAGGGGCTGAGGCAACCTGACTGTTCGGTGCCTGAGCCGAAGAGGAACTTAAGGGAGGACGACAAGGGTCTGGGTACCTTGAACTTGGTGGGATGGTTGTCTGAGAGGCCGTCTCTATTCAGGCAGCTACAGCAGCTCCCCATGGCGTCAGAGCAGCCAGGCGGCCCTGGGGAGGAACAGGAGACAAGCAGGTCACCAGCTGGAGTTCAGAAGACCCTGCTCTGGGCAGACCATTGCACCGTGAGCACCTACTCTGTACAAGAGATTCTACAACACACCATCAGGAATCCTCCCTCCATCTGGGCCCAGACACACTGGGAAAAAACAGCAATTCAAGTTAGAGTGTGACACTCTAGAGAGAGAGCTTCAAGGGGGTCACATGCCCTCTGGACCTTGAGAAGCACTCAGGGTTTGACCCATGGAAAAGCAAGGAAGAAGACAGAGCTGGAGGAAAAGCATGGACATAAGGCCCGAGCAGTGGCTGTCTCAGGAGTCAGGCACACTGCAGCCCAAAGACCTCCTTCAATTCACTCGGAACTGTGTGGTTATCTTAGATACTCTGGTCCATACCTTTTTCCTTTCCTTTTCTTTCTTTCTTTCCTTCCTTCCTACTTTCCTTCCTTCCTTTCTTTTTTTCTTTCTTTCTCTCTCTCTCTCTTTTTTTTCTTTTTTGCTGGTCCTGGGCTTGAACTCAGGGCCTAGGCCCTGTCCCTGAGCCTCTTTGTGCTCCAGGCATGAAGCCCTGGGTTTGATTCCTCAGCACTACATAAACAGAAAAAGCCAGAAATGGCACTGTGGCTCAGGTGGTACATTGCTAGCTTTGAAGAAGCTCAGGGACAGTGTCCAGGCCCTGAGTTCAAGCCCCAGGACTAGGAAAAAAAAATGTCTCACAGATATTCCTGTCTGGGCTAACTTTGAACCACGATCCTCAGATCTCAGCCTCCTGAGTAGCTAGGACTACAGGTGTGAACCATCAGCACACTGCACAAATTTCTCTTTTTGATGTTCTCTTTGGATGAATTTTTCTATCATGATCATAGACATGTTTTAAAATTCAAAACAGTATGATCTTGATTGGCTATTTCTTCATTTAAAAAAAGGCTGGGGCTGTCATTCAGTGATATCCATAAGGATAGGCGATTGATTCCCAGTACTGCAAAACAAAAACATCTTGGGTTTTGTTTGTTCCACATTGGCCAAAATGAGACCCGAAAATGATTTGGCTTTTCCTTCCAGGGTACTTGAAATTGTATTCTATGCGACAATAGTTAGGCCTGTGGCCTAAGGGAACAAGAAACCCATGGCCCAATCAGCAGGTTCTGTCACTTTGGGCACTGAGAATCTGGTTCGGGGCCTCATACTTGCCAGACAAATCTCCAACTTTCAAGCAGAATGTTAAAGGGTTGGTTACAAGGCACTCAAGAAATGAGGTGAGATTCATTCTCCTTCCAGATTTCTGCTGCTTGTGTCAGGTCCTGAACAATCCCCTGACTTGGACCCTCCGCCGTTCTTACCTCACCCAGGCCATCGGGGAGCTGCCCATGGGAGGGACATGGGAAAGGGCTCCCACTTCAGTCCCTCTGCCCTTGCTGGGGTGTCATGGCCAACCGTCTGCAGAGAAGTCACCTGGATCCCTCGGGGTGGCACCTGGGGCTCACCTAGCATAGGAGATGAGAGATCACCAATTCATGAGACTTTCTATCCTCATCCTGTTCATGAGACTGACCTTTGGCCAGTCCATTCCACCTGGATCTCTGTCCAGGTCCTAAAGAGTCTGAAACACCAGTGAAAAAAAAGCAAGATGGACAAAGGGACCATGATCCCAAGCACCAGAGGCCCTGAGAGGGGAAACTCCTCTAGCATCAATGAGTTTCGTGGCTGAGAGTCTATGATTTCCCAAGTCAACTTTTAGTCTCCCTCAAAATCCTGTTAAAAGAAACACCCCAATCACTACCTTACATTTGCAGAGAACTTCACCTCTACACAGAGCTTGCACAGAACACTACGATAAAATAGCTGGTGGCTCATACCTCTAATCCTAGTTACTCAGGAGGTTGAGATCTGAGTATCTCTGTTCAAAGCCAGCCAGGGCAGCCTAAGCTAATCTCCAATTAACCATCAAAAAAGCCAGATATAAAGGTGTAACTCAAATGGTAAAGCACTAGCCTTGAGCAAAAAAGTTAAGTAAAAGTTCAGGGCTGTGAATTCAAGTCCTAGCACCAGCATAAATAAAGAAATGCCAGAGCTAGAGGCATAGCTCAGATGGTAGGCACGGTGACAATCAAGAGCAAGTAAACAAGCTTTGAGTTCAAACAAACAGAAAAAAGAACACTATGGTGTATTGCAAAGAGTATGGGCATGAGGTTCAGGAAACAAATATTCTAGTCTGTTTTGTTGTTACTAGAATCTAAGAGACTCCATCAAAGTCAACTCCTCACACCCACCTTCCAATTCCTCAATTGTCAAGGGAAACATGTGTAAACCACTGAGCTTTAGCTTAGCTTAAATAGCTTCTAAAGATAAGTATGTAAAACCAACACCATTAAGACAGTTTCTCTTCCAGGATAGGTCCTCAGTCTAACATTTGGAAGATGGGACAGGTTTCTGTTCCCCAAGCTCAAAACGGTCCCATTTTAAACATAAATGTTAATAAACTAAAATATGAAAGCAGCTGAGCCCCAGCTACACAAGCCAAGCAACCAGAATCCTGGAAACCCTTGAAATCCCATCTCCATGCTTTGGAAAGACAAGGCCCCTTGCACCCCCAGCCTCTGGGTCTGGGGGGCTCATTATTTGGGAGGGCACTGGCTGCAGTGGTTGAGCGCAGACTAGCCCAGGGTGGGGAGGGGCTGTACTTTCCCTGTCTGCATCCCTTTTTCTTTAAGATATTGGACCTGTCACCAGATAACCCAGAGGGAGGGTATTACACTGGGCCGGACATGGACGGGGAGGGCAGGGCAGGGGTTGGATGGGGACTATGGGGTTGAAAATGTATGGAAGCCTTGGGATGTGGGGAACCATCTGGATCTACCTAGGTGGCGATTTGGGTTGTTGCAAAGAGAACTTGATGGGCCCTGGGACTTTGTGGACGGAGGAAGATCTGGGCGCATCCAGGAGTGGGTGGTGGGTCTGTGGGACCCGTGGGTGGGGGGTTCTGAGGTGCGTCCGGGGGAGGGGGAGAGGTGGGCTTTGGGCAGTGAGAGCCGATCTGTTTGCAGGGCGGTCAGGGGATTTCTAGACACGGGAAAGGCACCGGGAGGTCCGGGCCGCTCGTCGTGCCCGGAACCCCGCTCCCCGCCAGGGGCTGCGCGCCCCCCCTCCCCCGCCTGCCCGCCCTGGGCTTCCAGGGAAGAGCAGAGACGGCGGCGCGGCCTCGGGGAGCCGCCTTGTCCCCGCCCCGCTGCGCCCAGACTCACATCGCCCCGCGGCCCGGGCGGCGCCGGGCCCCCCGCTCCCGGGTCCCGCTGCAGCAGCCACCGCCGCCGCCCGCCCGGAGCCAAGGCCTCCCCGTCCCGCCCTGCAACCGTGGGGTCGGAGGTCACCGGCAGCACCAACGAGACGCTGCGGGCGGGCGGGCGGACCCGAGCGGGGGCGACCGGCGAGCAGCCTAGAAGGTCCCTTTGGAGGACTTTGCAGGCGTGAGCGGCGAGCATGCGCAGACGCCAGAGGGCGCTCCGCGCCAGACACTAGGAATCCTGACGGGAGTGGGGCGTGGTGTGGGCGGGACCTGAGGTGGGCGTGGTCTTCGGAGGGCGGGGCGGAGCGGAGTGGAGTTTAGGGACCGGGGCTGAGGCGCTCCCTGGAGACTGGGAGAAGGGCTGGACCAGGGGAGCCGGGGGCGGGGAGGGCAGGGAGAGGGAAGGAGGTCGGGGGATCATTGGGAATCAGAGGGCGGGAGCTGACGAGGGGCTGGGGCCCGAGGTAGGGTCTGAGGGATCCTGGGGACCCTCGGAGAGAAAGAGCTGGGTTCAGCATCCTTCCCGCCCAGGTCCATTCTTCAGGCTGCGGCCCCAGGCGCCTCGGCGGTGCTGGCCGGGCTGGGGGCGTGGGGAGGGAGGGCGCGCCGTCGGGGCGGGGCTCGGCCGAGGGGTCCCGGGCTGCCACGTCCCCGATCCTGCCCCAACGAGCGGACTCCAGGACGACACCGCACCCCAGCCTCGCGGGGTGCCCCGCAAAGTCCCTGGGAAACTTGGGGGGAATCTTCGAAGGCGCTTGGAGGGGTCGGGCACGCCCCCTTTCTCCCTCGGTATTTCCTGGGAAAGCCTCCAGCCCCCAGCGCCCCCGGGAGGGAGGGGGTGTGGGCTGGGGGACTTGCGCCCTCTGGCTGGTGAGCACCTGCGCGAGGGTTGGAAGGAGGATCGTGTATGGAGGGTAGAGGTGAAGAAGGCCGGCCGGTATGGGGTAAGGGAAGGAAGGGGAATGGGCAGAGAATGGATTTTTTTTTTCATTTGGTCATATTTGAAGAATGGATTTTTAATTGTTGTTTCTGTGTCCAACAGTTCCATGCAAGCTAGACCTAACGTAAAGGAGGGTACGAACCCCTCTATAAGGCCTTCGATGCTCCCCTTTTCCTTGTGGCCTGGAGCTAGGAGAAATGGCGACCCCAGGCCCTGAGTGTGAACAGCCCATCCTGGCCACCTTCCACAGGAAATCTGACCTGAGAGACAGAACAGGAAGGAAACAGGTGCGTGCGGGGCCAGGAAGGAAGGAAGGGTGGCACCGGACATGTGAAAGGTGGGGTGTGCTGCTGAGTAGAGTTCGGGACTGGAAAGTATGTAATGGTCCAAACGTGGGCCCAACCCTAAAGCTGTATCTTACTGGGGCCAGGGGTTGGATGAAGCCCCCTCCCTATGTGCTAGCCAGTGTCCAGCCCAGCCTACTTGGCTTTCTGGTGTGATCTTGAGCATGCTAATTAAGTACGCATTTTTTTGACCTGTAAAACCGAGAAAAGATTATTGTGAGGATGAGCTTCATTATGTACAATTCTAGAGCAATCCCTGGCACAGAGTAAATGTAAACGTTTACACTGGCTATTCCCCCCACATACAAACCACCATGGGACGTATGTATCTAACCAGAGTATAAAGGGGAAAGTTCTGCCTGGCTTGATTTCTGTCTTACCCACTAACTAGCCTGTGAGCTTGAGGGCAGGGCCCATTCCCTCTCTCCTTCAGCAGTTACTCCCCACCTCCAAGATATCTTGGGTTGCATCAGGACTGGTGGAGAGGAAGGCTAAAGAGCCTGAGCTTATCCAGTGAAACTGCTGAGAAACATCAAAAGTGAAGGTGGGTCTCAAGTGATAGCCAGTCAGCCTTGAGCAAAAAAAGTAAGCAAAACCAGGAGGCCCTAAGTTCAAGCCCTGTACTAGCACAACCCCCCCCCAAAAAAAAGGTGGCTGAGGATGAGACTCAGTAGTAGAGTGCTTGCCTAACTTGCATTGCTCAGGCCTTGTGTTCAACCAAGGAGAAAAAAGGGAAAGGGGAGAAAGAAGAGATGAAAAGAAAGAAATTGTTCATGTAGATAGCCCAAAATTTTCCAACCATTGAGAAGCTCATAGACTACAGGAGGAATTGAGCGAGACTCGGGACAAAGAGAACCCTTGGAGTGCTGTTTACTCTGTAGCAGAGGCTATTCTAGAATTTCACCAAATATGGTCTGTCCTCACAATAATCCTTCTAGAGCTCAGAATGGAAAGCCAGAATGGGCTAGAATCCTGGTAAGGTGGCCCATTAGCCAGGTCCAAACATCCATAGCTAGAAAAATAGGGCTGAGAGAGGGAATGGCTCCTGGGCGATGGGCACAATGGGAGTTCAAGCTAGCAAGGTGAGCCTTCCAAGGGCTCCCAGAAAGAAAAACGTCACCTCCTTCCACTGTGGGCCTTCTCACTCCATCCTGGTCTTCAGGAGTCCCAGCATTTCAACTTCAGAAATGCAGAAGCTGAGAGGCCTGATTTTAGGATCTGGCTCTGCCACTCACTTGCTGTATGATCTTTGGCGGATCTCATTCCTCTGTGCTCACTCATCTGTGGTTCAGCCACAGGTACCGCATCAAGCGCAGCCATGTCTGTAAGGCACTTAGCATTGCCTAGCTCATTATGAGGGCCCACTGATTGAGGCCTCCTTATTGTTTTGGGGCAGACTTTGTCACCACTGTTAGTGCTGAACTCGGAACTCTCAATGCCCCATCAAGAGGATAGTCCCATCACCAGGGGGCAAGGTTTACCTGCCAACTCAGAGGCTGACTCAGGCCACCAGCCAGAGGAAGACCCCGAGGATATCTTTGCTCAGGTATGACACATCTGCCTTCCTGAGAACCACCTGCCCTCTTTCCCTTTCTACCAACTAGGAGGTCGTTTGCTTTGTTCCCAGTACTAGAGATTGAACCATACATGTGCTGGACAAGTGCCCTAGCTCTATTTTTTTTTGATGTTGTTGGTTGTGGGGCTTGAACTATGGGCCTGGGCACTGTCCCTGTGCTCTTCCAGCTTAAGGCGAGCACTCTACCTCTTGAGCCACAGCACCACTTCCAATTTTCTAGTGGTTTATTGGAGATCAGAGTCTCATGGACTTTTCTGCCCAGGCTGGCTTTGAACTGTGATCCTCAGATTTCAGCTTCCTGAGTAGCTAGGATTACAGGTGAGAGCCACTGGTGCCTGACTTAGCCCTATTTTTTGGTTTGGATTTCTTTTTTTCTTTTGTTGGTTGCGGGGCTTGAACTCTGGCCCTGGGCGCTGTCCCTGAGCTCTTCAGCTTAAGTGTTCTATCACTTGAGCCACAATGCCACTTGCAGTTTTCTAGCAGTTAATTAGAGATAAGAGTCTCATGGATTTTCCCTGCCTGGGCTGGCTCTGAACCGTGATGCTCAGATCTCAGCCTCCTGAGTAGCTAGGATTACAGGTGTGAGCTATGAGTGGCCAGCTAGATCTCAGCCTCCTGAGTAGCTAGGATGACAGATGTGAGCCACCAGTGGCTGGCTAGATTTTGTTTTTGAGACAAGAGTTTTGCTATATAGCTCAGAGTGGCTTTGAACTTTCCATCTTTCTCCCTCAGCCCTCCTGAAGAGTATAGGCATATGATACCAGTTCTGTCTATGTGTAACTTCTTGGGGCCCTTGTCCCTCTTCAGAATTCCTGCTTCTACACCGTCCTTATGACAGAGGATTTGATTTTCAACTCCTTGACATAAATATACAATACATTCCTAAGAGATCCTTGTTATCAGAACAAATTAAAAGGTGTAAAGGGAGGCAGCTCCGAGTATAAGGAAAACCATTTGGGGTTCCCTAAAGGTAACCCACAGATGCAGCAGGGGATCTGCTGTCCTCATGCTTAGTGAAGGTCTGCAAGGAATATCCTCCAAGAGCAGAGTGGTATCAGAAGTTGCTCTAGATTGGAGAAGTGGTAATGAGGAGGGAGGAAAGGAAATACCTAGCTCCACTCTTCCTCATTTGTGTCTGTCCTCAGGCTCCTGCAGTCCTGAGCTTGGGCCCACCCCACTTGGACACCAACCAAGCCTCCAACTGGCCTGGACTTCAGACCCTCCTACAGCAGCTCCCTCCGCAGGACAGTGATGTGAGTCTCCCCTCCCCATCTTCCCTCTCCCTTGTTCTTTTAACTTCCCGCCTCAACCTTGCTTCACGATTTACTGTAGAAAGGCCCTTGGTCCAAATGTCAAGGGACATGGCTAAGGTCCAGCCATGCCCACTACTTGGGAGAAGTCCTTCCTTTCAGCTTGACTTTTCACATCTACATAATGGGTGCCAAAACATCTGCTCTGCTTACTACAATGCTTAGTTCAAGAGCAAATGAGAAAATGGACATGAACAACTGATGAAACCAGTAATGGAATGTACAAATGGAGAACACATGGTCCTTTAGTATTTATTGAAGCCCTGTATGTGCCCAGCCTAAAGGCTTACAATTCAATTGGGGAGGCAAGACAAGAGCATAGGAGGTAAGGAGAAAATTCAAGGATAGGAAATGATGCTGGCTCTAGTTCATTAGGTGTATGTGATAATGCTTAGTGAGGTTTAGGGCTGTCAGACCCTGCATGATGACAACTTTTTTGTTGTTGTTGTTGGCTATGGAGCTTGAACTCAGGGCCTGGGTGCTGTCCCTGAACTCTTTTGCTCAAGGCTACCTCTCTATCACTTTTGGGTTTTGAGTGGTTAATTGGAGATGAGTCTCACAGGGACTTTTTTGAAGCCTGGGCTGGCTTCAAACCAGGATCCTCAGATCTCAGTCTCCTGAGTAGCTAGGATTATATGCATGAACCACCTTGTTGCCTGGCAACAATTTCTTTTTGTATGTGTGCTGGTCCTGGAACTTGAGCTCAGGGCCTGGGTGTTGTCCCTGTGCTTCTTTTGCTCAAGGTTAGTGCTTTACCACTTAAGCCACAGTGCCAAGTTGGGCTTTTTCTGAGTAGTTTATTACAGATAAGAGTCTCACAGACATTCCTGCCCAGGTTGTCTTTGAACCATGATCCTCAGATCA